TATTTTTCCCTTAAATGCATATGAACTAAATGATAATGAAATTCTTCACCCTGACAACCTAAGAAACTGAAATCCTCTGGGTCTCTGATGCCCGGAGTACTTCCCTCTTCTGCAGTATAGATTATTTGGCCTGTTGAATCTGAGAGCACTAAAAATACAATTGTGTGTCACTACCTGCACACTTCTCATCAATTCTCCACTGGGAAGGTCTATGGCATTAAGACACAGGTCAAGCAGCCACTTATCCACATATTTTGGCCTATCAATGTTTTCACTTCCTCTGGGATCAGTATGTTTCCAACAATAGACATAAAAATTGAGTTCAGAATATTCCAGCAACAAAAGCTTCCCAAGTCACTCAGCCAATTAAAGCTAATGCCTCTCTTCATCTCACTGCCTTCTCACAGGTATAGCCCCAAACCTCTCCTACTTAAAAATCTGGAAGAAGACATATGCCTCCCAGCAAACCTCAGAATAAACACACTCTGTACGAGGTTCAGGGGGAGAAAGAAGGGGTATTTTCCACTTCTGTGACTGCTAGCTTACATGCCACATCTTATCTGAGTCACAGGCTGCTGGTGCTCAGTGAGATAGGAGAATCAAGGCCCAACAGTGTTATCACATGAAAAGCTTGTCTACATGCCTGCTGCATTGCACCTACCAGAACATAAAGGCAAGCCACTTGGCTACTAACACAGAAAGTGTTTTATTTAATGAGTTCTGAACTGCGTGAAGACCATCCAGTCTCTCATGAGAAGACTAGAGCTGTTTCTCACAGCCTCAGCCATTTTATGAGTGGCTCCATCAGGTGGGTTGGGCTGGGAGGCATCTTTGTCATTTCCTACTTCCCACCCCACCTCCCTTTACAGATCACAAGACAACAGGACAAATGTTTTCTCCACATTTAATCTTTATTAATTTTCTCAGGACAAACAACAAATAATTACTATAAGCAGACTAAAGCGGTGCTTTTCAAATTGTGCTCTCCCTAGCAGTTTAACGTTGTGTGTAAATAGTAGAAGAAACACTGAACTACACAAGCAAGAGTAAGTTGAGCTCTGCCTGCAGTACAACAGGCCTCTGTATTTTTATGACTGACTTTAAAGGGTATGGCCAGTATTAAAGCTATCTGATATTTATTGTGAGAGCCTGATTTTTTTTTTTGTTTAATTCTCTAAGCTGCTTATTACTTTTCCATATTCTTCATTTTTGTGCCAAAACCTTCTGCATAAGATACAAGACCTCAAAATTGTCAGAAAAATCTGGCTAAAGTTGCTCTATCAATTCCAACAGCAACAATAAGAAAAATGTTTTGTGAATTTTAACTTCTGGCAAAAGTTTGTTAAGGAAGTTCTAGTATTTCTACCTTTTAATAAGTATTTCCTGGATTTTAAGTCAAAGCAATAAGTAGTCTGTGCTGCCCTCCACACTGCTATGAATAGCCCAGCTGGCCCAAGTACCTTTACAAAGCAGCTCCTTTAAAGAGGATAGAAATATTTTATAACTGTAATAGCTGCTCTGGGTCAGCATCAAAAGAAAGAACAGGGGCCCATCCTCTCTGTTCTCTTGCTGACTTCTCTTAGTGCGAACATAGCATGGGGAACTAGACTGCTTGAATCAAGTGCAAAGATGAACCTAGAGGACAGAGAGACCTTAATTTAACCTGGTGGGAGGAGATGGGCACTAACAGCTGGCAGAGGGGAATTTGAATGATCTAGAGAGAGTGAGAGGCACAGGGAAAAGGCAGGAGTTGAAGACTTAGGAGGTTGGACACAGAGCAAAAGTGTGGCAGGAACCAGACAAAAGAGAAGGGGGGAGAGGGGATAAAAGAGTAAGAGGTGAGGGGCAAAACAAACCTAGGCAATGGGTGGAGGAGGGAACTTGGGTCTGGCTGGGTAAGCAGTAATGGCAGCTTCAAAAAACACATTTACCCTTGCTAGGTAAGAACACTTGTACACAAATGAGAACCTGAGGAGTGGAGGATTCAATGAGGAGCATAGAGGAAGGGAAAAGAATGGAGGGGTGGGTTGGCACCTGTAAACACCACTTTGCAGCGTCCATTGGATCTCAGACCTGGCTAACAATGTTCACTGTAGGCACAGCTTGCTCTGCCCCTGCTGTGAGCAGCATCCAGGAAACCCAACAACTAATTTTTCCATCCCTGACATTAGACCATGCAATGGAGGAATAAGATGAAATATTGGCTGTTGTGATTTACCATGGCACTAATATACGTGGAACAATTTGCTGCAGTGGATTTAGGTCATCAGCACCCACAAGACAGCACTGGATGACTGAACTGCTGTCTCTACCTTTTGCTTTGCCTTTTTCAAAGCGATGCAAACAATCACATACAAGAGAGCAGTGGGCTTCTTTAGGTCCATTTGCTGCTTGCAAGAGATTTGAAGGCAGCTCTCTCACTTCGCTGTAAAGCTTAAATAGTAGAGGGCTGCTCTACAAACCTCTACCCTCCAGCAAACCATCACTGATGTCAGGAGATTGCTTGGATTGCCCTGAGGGTATTGCCTGTGGACAGCTGGGTTGCACCAGCAGGATTCAGAGACCATGCTCATCCACTTGAATTTCTGCTAGTGGTGTTGATGCACTGGAAAATTTGCCTTGACTCCCATCTCCAGGAGAGAGTATCTTTTCCTCACACATAGAATGGCAAGAGAGAGAGATGGAACTCCTCTTTCTAAATGTTTTTTTATATATACATAAAGTATACATAAAGCATGTGAGTACACTTTTCAGAGTACAGCTATTCAAGTAATAATGTTTCTTTTAAAAGAAATGTAATAAAAATCCCACTAAGGTTGAATATAGAAATAATTAAGAGGAAATAAATGTGAAATTTTACCTAAATAGGGGTTATAAAATCAAGTCCAGAAGAAAGGAGCATTCCCTCTATGGTATAAAATAGCATTGTCTTGCCTGTAGGCATTACAGCAAGCAGAGAAGATTCACCATACCAGAAACCACCAAAAAGTCTATACACTGTCTGTTACGGGATGGTACAAAATTAATCCCTTGCTTATGCAACTGAAATTCAGTGGAAAGCAAAATGGTGTAGCCAGGTATTTGGACATGAGTCTACCAGAGGGAGAGGGATGTCTGTGTTGTCCAAGAGAGCTGTTTGGAGCAGGATCCTGGAAATTCAGTGAGAAAAGCACTTACCTACAGAGTTGCCACTAATTACAGTTAATTCCCCATTTGCCTGAACTCTACACCTTTCATTTTAAGTGCTGATGTGTTCCAAGTCCCTGACTTCACCCAGAGACACAATTTTGGAAGTTGTCTTCCAAGAAGCCATTGTAAACAGAGACTTTGTCAGGAATTGATGACAGTTCTTAACATAAAAGCCCATTAAATCCCCCTAGTAATTACATACCACAACTTTAGTCTAAGAGCAGCTCAAATTTTAAACAGTTGAGCATCTAAACAAACGAGCAGCAAAATAAGTTGTGCATCTGGTTTAGTGTTATACAGCAGTAAAAACTTCAATATGATCTAGACCTTTCAATAATGAGCAGAAATCTATTCCACTTCAAGTCCTACAGAAAACACATTCAGTGCTGAAATGTGAGCTAACAAACTTTTGATTACCTCACCTAGAGGAGTACATAAAAGCAGCTACATTATTAGGTGGGTTCTCTCAACTTTCACCCCAGGATTTCCAGTAAACGCTTTGCAATTGTCTGGTTCCTATCCCAACTGAAATATTTCTATTTTTAAGAAATATGCTCTTATGCATATTTATACATGCAGAGAGAGAGAACATGCAGGTATCTTTTGTCAAATAAAGTTAGATATTTCCTTCAGGAGTAAAAAAGGAGCCCCCAACCCTCCTCCCAAATGTAGAAATTTGGAAATCCTATGCTACAAAAAATAAGCTGAAAGGCTAAATAAACCTCTGTGCACTCAACAGAACCTCCTGCAAAAAAATTATGTAGAGTATCACTGTGTCTCTCCTGCCCCTCTTGAAAGCAGAGGTTAACAAACACCAGGAAAGAATACTTCAGCTCTGCATTTGCAGGTTTTTTGGTCAGCACTCAAATATTCCCAAGAAAGTTGTCTTTTACCCCCAAATCAAGGAAGGCTGAGACTCTCCTTTTGCCCTTACCTATTATTTTGTTTTGTACAAACTGTGAACACCTCTCAAAAGGTAGCTATGTCTTAGACAAAAATTACAGCAGAATCACTAAAGCATTGAGAGTGGAGATTGTGCATAACTGGTATTTCAGGATTAAGTATTTCCTAATAGGTATCTCTTTAGGGTGGTAGTGCACCTTGTCCTGAGTTTGGCTAGCCAGCAAATTAGGGAGAAAATTTCACTTGTAGATCACTGTAATCCTTAGAAAGTCAACATGTACACTACTTGAATATTTACTGAGAAGCACATGTGGTGATAGCTGGAAACACGCATGAGTTCAGACACAAAGACCATTACCTTTGTTAACAAAAGAAAAGTATGTTTTACTCGCTGATTTCAGAGAAGCAGTTAACAGTCTCTAGGAAGCCATTAAGCAGAATTCTAGAGGGCTGGGAACCTTGAGCAACTGCATTAGGTTTTTTACCTGTTTCGGTGTCTCCATGGGGTGCATGACAATAACAGCAGTCCAGGAAGATAACATAGTTGAACACATTGAAGAACAGACCTACAATCCCAACAATAAGGACAAGCAGTGCGTTCTCAGTCTTCTGCGGATTGATAAATCTCTTGATTGCCTCGACGAAGATGCTAAACATGAGAGCGGTGGCAAAGATGGTGTTGCCAAAAGCCCCCAGCACATCTGCCCGGCTGAAGCCAAAAGTGCTGGTCTTGTGCTGTCTGACACGACTCAACCTGACCCCGAACAAACCGATGATCATGGAGATCAAGTGAGAGAGAACGGCGAAGGCGTCTGAAGCTAAGGAAAGAGAGTTGCCAACGTAGGCTACTGCGATCTCAACAGCAAACAGCACAAGGCTCACCACGCACATGAGGACGAGCCTGCTGCTCCTGCCTGTGTAGCGTCCCATTTCTCTCGCTCTCCTTCCCTTACTCTGGAGTTCTGTGCAAGGAGCAAGTTGCTGCCTGCGGTCCTGCCCTTCCACCTGTCAGCACTGCTCACATGCAGGAGCCACTTTTATAGGAAGCAGTAAAGCAATAAATCAGTTTAAAGGGCAGTTTAGCAAGATTTGTCATGTGAAGGCAGCCTCAAGGCTCCCATGCTGTAGGTGTTCCACCCTTGGGAGGCACTTTTTATTTTTTTTCCTTACAAAAACAAAAATAAACCAAGGAAGTCTACAGGGATCACCAGCACTTGCTACCCAATGGCACTGTCCTAAAAACTGAGTAAGGCCCAGACACATTGACCATGTTGTCCATGGAGCAAACTTCAAAGACAAGGAATTATCTTATATTTTAGTAACCCAGTTCTCAACTGCTTGCACTTTGGCACATTGTAGCATTAGCCATGGAAATGGAGCAAAGCTTTTAAAATAAGCAGCCAGTAGACAGAGCAGCTGAACCTTAACCATAAAACCAAAGCACATTTTTTCTTTCCCATTAAGAAAACTCTGCCTGTCTCAAAATCCCAAAGTGATCCTCATATGCTTGCAAGGAGAAGTCAAATTTGGGGAAAGCACAACCAGAACTTAAGGGGAAAATAAGAGCTGCACAACTCTTAGCTTGTACTTGGTGCCACTTCAGAACACAGTAAGAACCTGAAGCAGTTCTGCTTTTTGGTTTTTTCCTCCCTCATTGTTGTACCTGTTGAGCTCGAGTGTATGCGCAGTTTATGCCCTCATAAAGGACGGTGAAGGAAGTCTAGCTGCTAATAGCACACTAGGCAAGAGGGATGAGGTACCTTCCTTGAAAAGTTTATGATCTGGTTTTTGTTTGAGATACCCATCTGTGTACACATATCCACACACTTAGTTACAAGACAAAACGGAAGGAAATGACGTGCAGTACAGCCATAGAGAGATAAGATGATAAAACTGATAACCTAAGCTGACCAGCTGTCCCTGCTGACCTCACTTCCCAAGGTGAATTCACTTTAGGTTAAAAACTCAAACATCCACCCCCAATTTTCATTTATTTTTTTTGCTCATGGGGTTTCAACAGCCAAACTATGTTTAAAGTCCAGTTTGTTAGAAACCTTGCCTGGCAACAGATGTAATTTTTAACATTTGGTCATGTGTCTACCCGCACGCTGCAACTCTTGTGGGTTCCCCCCACGTTAAGAACACCATTAACACTGGTAGGGTGAATTACTGGAATTACAACGTTGAAACTGGTATTTGCTCTTCCTCTTCAACTTCCACCTGTGATACTACTTCTATTCCAGCTATTTCTATGGTCTTCTCTTCCTTCTTGTATTAATGTTCAACTATGTAATTATTTTATTGTCTGAACAACAGAGCATGAAAAGTCAGAAAAAATTTTTTAGAGTTATTCTCCTTTCAATGGAAACAGACCAAGGTCAAGTTTCAGAGCTCTCAAAAGCCATGTCTTACATAGGGTTTCTATTACAAAAGTAAGAGCTGGAGCTAAATGAAGCATTCCCTTTGCAGCAGAGATAAAATGCTCAAGTGAGCTCTATTTTGTTAATAAGCAGTAGCACCATGTTTAGGCTGTTCCACTACACCCCATCTTACTATGCTGTTTAACTCAAATTTATCCATATGCAAGAACTAAGGTACAGTAAGATTTGCAATTCTTTTATAAATACAATGTAGTATCATTTAATCAACATGGTATATTATTCTGGTTCACGTACTTATTTTTTAACAGACACAATCTACTAGAAGTTGAACTTTCCATACTATTATAATTAAAAGTATGGATGTTTCTATATTGCTTTATAGATAGCCTAGATTGTGCTTCTGGTGAAAGCATGCTTGACATGGCTGTCCCATTCAGACAGGCTGTGGCATCTCTGTGGAAGATCACCACAGAGGTGAGTCACTCACATTCCAGACACTTCAAGCCCTACTATCACCAGGAAGAAACATGGTCAGGAAAAGAAAGGGGCGGGGGGGAGTGGAAAGGGCTGGCCTTCTGTGAAATCTCTGGCTTCAAACAAACCCATCTGTAGGTTGAGAGCAACTCATTTCTAGGAACAGTGTTGTCAACATGTTTACTCATGAATTTGATCCAGTCAACTGGTTGAAGGTTGGCAGTTCAAACTGATAAGGTTGCAGCAGAGAATGCATTTAGTTTTGCCTTTCCTTTGTTCTGCCCTTTGAACAGTTTCCGTATCTAATTTTTAAAATAATGATGTTGTAGAGTGTTTCAATGGGAGCTGAAAGTGCTAACTTCTTCTTAACAGTCTGTTTTGCTCTGTCAGAACTCTTGGCACACTCCTGTCTCTCATGCCCAAGGACACTGAAGCTGCTGGTTGCTGCCTCTCCCCTTCCCCCAGCACGAGAGTGCTATACAGGCAATACCTCTGAAGTCTTAGCCATCATTTGAGGCTGGGAAAACATCACTCTGCTATTACAACTTACTTGCTCTCCAGTATAATTCCAGTCAGTGTTAGGGACAGCATACCTGGACAGAAAAACCTTAGGGCCACTCTTCTGATATGTCCACCAAAAATATAAGATAAAGGCATGCACTGAGAAATCATTCCCCAAATCCTTTGCTTACAACTACACCCAAGACTTTGTCTAATAAGAAAATACAGAAACAGATGAATGCAAAAAACCTGGGGTATTATCATAAGATGCATGATCCTAAACTGACTGGCCATTGGTTCAAATGTAATAAAAATTTGACAGGGAAGGCTGGCCACAGGGATGTGGGCAAAAGCAAACATTTTGCATGCTTTAGAAAGCAGAAAAGTGTGAAGGTCTAGGAATAGCACTGTAAGTCACCTCTGTGCTAAAGGCTTTTAGACTATTGATGCTACATAAAAATAGGGGTTCGGAAACAGGTAGCTATGCACTATTGTCCCAGCAAGAGTTTGGGAAGGATCTTACTGGTCCAATTTTTAATTGCCAAGTTTTCACTCAAATGTTCCTAGAAGAATGGTTGTACATAAGTCTGCCTTCAAAGATAGAGCATATAGAACTTTAAGGATGTGTTATCCAACAGTTATTTAGTCCCAGGATTCTCTCTCTTTTTTTTTTTTTTAAGTCAATCCTATGCTCAGAGTGGAAGGAATTTTATTTTTAAAATAATTTTGTAACTCTACAACATCCAGCCTTCCCCGCTAAAGCAACACAGTAAGTGCAGGGAAAGAAAAAGGGTTTTATGAAATATGTTATAGATACAACCATAGCCTAAAAATCTTAGCACTGAAAATACCTCTCTTCATATTGTCTTTGCATTACTCACTGCAGTATCACTGTGAGACAGCTATAAATGCCAGTTGCTGAAGTAAGAGAAACAAGGCTTAGCAAAATATTTGCAAGAAATTATATTCACCTGCATCTTGCTAACAATATGGCATCTGACTTTCAAACATTTTTTACAATGGGGTGAAAATATTCCTTGAAATATCTGGCTCCAAAAGGAGTTTTCAAAAAGGGTGGAGTTCACCTTGCCTACAAGTTAGCAGGAAGTCTGTACTGAAAATTGAAAAAATTTGAAAGCAAAATTAAAAGCAGATGTTTTATCTATAAAGTTTATGTCGGCACACTAAACTGTACTGTCAAGTGTTTATAACATGCTCTCCAATCTTACAGGTGTTTTCTCAATGTACAAGAAACTATATGCACCAAAAAGGAAGAGACAGAAGCAAAGGATCCCTATCTGCCCCATTGAGCAGCACAGAAAAAAAACCCCAAAGCATTTTACAGTTCACAATACATGTTTATTATTAGAGATGTTTACAGAAAAGTCTGTGAATATCTGCTAGCCTAAAACTGACAGCTGGGGGGAGTCATGGTTTTATGGCTTCGTTTTTTGAATCATTTAAAAAGTCGCAAAACTGATTAAATTTGGGGGCTATTTCAGTCTCATTAAAAAAAGTTCAATTTGCAGATAAAGGGAGAAGGTGCTTTCACAAGTAATTTAGTAACTACGACCAAAGAGGGTGTAAAACTTGGCAGGATTTTTGCCGCAGACACATCTTGCCCCACGCTGTAGTTCATGGAGGGGCTGGAAAGGTATGCAGAGGCTTTTTGCTCCCATAGAAGGGGCACCAGGCTCAAGATCTTGATCTCTGAAATAAAAGCATATTCATAAATACTTTTATTTAAAAATGAAGGTACAATAAAGTGTATTATCTATAAAAATCTCGTAAGCATGCTGACTAGTCTGAAAGTTTCAGAACTAGGGGACTAAATAAATTGAATTTTGCAGGACAGCAAGAGTCAAGGGTGAGGATTGAGCATCAGTGATATACCTAGAGACATCCTATATTCCTGTTTAATATTCAAAACATTCTGATCTTCACGGAAACTCTCCAGTTTAGTTATATGTTACCTGGCAGTGGTCTTCTTGATCCAGTCCTCGCACTCAATTTCCCCACAAAAAGGTATTTGGACAATCTGAAGCAGTGAGAGGGAGGCAGAGAAAAGAAGAGTTATACATCTAAAAAAAATCATCCTTGTTTCTGAAGATTTCCAAACTTTAAGATCTCATATACACTCAAAGTGGGAAACATTCTGCCTGCTACAAGTAAAATTTAGTTGCTCTTTCTCATCAGAGAAATAGATGAGCACAGTCATCCCTCCATAGTACAACAGGAAAAAACCTACGCAAACCCAAAGCAACATTTAAATCGTCAGGATACAAGTTGGTTTTTTTTTAAGCCCAATATACGTTTCTTCCATGGGAAGTATAAATACTATTTTTCCCTGAAATACTAATTTTTTCAGGAAAATTTTAGAACTTGGACTGCAGAACAAATGCTTGCTTACATACACAGTGCTTTCCTAGTAATGCTTCCATTTTAATTCCATTACTATAAATGTTCATATTTGCTGAACAAGGCCAGGGCATACATATTTCAAAAAACCAGATTCACCAAAAGCATATTTTTCCTGAGGGCAGGAAGAAGTGGTGCATATTTACCTGCCATTTT